CCAGGCGGGCGGGCAGGGCGCACGGAGCGCGCCACGCGGCGCCTCGCGGGGAGGAGGGCGGGCGGGGGCGGGGGACAGGGGACAGGGGCGGCGCCGCGCGGGCTCCTCCTCCCCGCCGTCCTCGGCCCGGCCGCCGCGCCGCCAGCTGCTCGTCCTTCGTCCCCGGGCCGCGGCGATGTTCAACCGCGCCGTGAGCAGGCTGAGCAGGAAGCGGCCGCCGTCAGGTAAGCGGCTCCCGGGGCCCGCGGGCGTCCCCCGTCCGTCCGTCCGTCCGTCCTGGGCTCGGGCGCGGCCGGCGATGCCGCCCGACGGGAGCCCCGGGAAGGAAGTTTGGCTGAAAGGGGAACAAAGAGAAGTTGCCTTTTTAGTGACGGCCTGGGAGAAAAAGGAGACCCCAGACACCCCCAAACTTTGGAGGGACCGTGGGACCCAGATTCCGAAAGCAGAGCGGGGCCGCGAGGGGGACAGGACGCCGGGACGGAGCAGGCGCACGGGCGGTTCCGACACACAGGGGTCGCCTTGGCTGTCGCTCTGGACCAGCCCGAGCCACAAGTTGGGGCCACTTGGTAGGACGAAGAGCCCGCGGTGCAGACGAGGCCATGCCCTTGACGCCCATCCTCGCGCCCTTTAGTTGGCGATTCTGGGCAGCTGCTACCGCACGGGCTGCGTTCACCTCGCTCCGTGAATTCTGTCCTCACCCTCAGGACGGCCCGGTGGGACAGCAGGGAGCCGGGGCCGGGACTGCCAGCTGACTGGTCCCCAGTCACACTTAGTGGGCGAGGAGGATCTTTCAGAGCCAGGTTTGCCTGAATCTGGAGCTCAGAGGCTTTTCCTACATCACCAGTTCCAATATTCACTTCTGTGTGGTACTAAGAGACTGTACGTATTGGCCCTTTCCCCACCTAACATCATATTTTGTGAGGGCCAGTGTGGTTAAGAGACTGGAACCAGACTGGCCGGGGCTGAATCCCACCTCCCCCACTGCTAAATGGGAATAATAATAGCTTCCCAATCTGTTTAAGTACTTAATTGGAGCCTGTCCCCACCCACCAAATTATGCAAATAATTGCATTTAATACTTAGGGCAACCCTAATAAAGTAGGACATCAGAGGGTTATTGCAAAGATCTCATATTGTTGCCCAGCACATATTAAGAGCTCTGTTAGTGTCAGTGGTTCTGTAAACCGTTCTGTGTTGCATGGAAGTCAAAGAAGTCCCTTGTGGTTGTTAATGTTAGCCCTTCCCTGTTGTTGACACAGGCCTAGGGAGCCGTGGTCAGAGGCTAGACTGGAGTTAAACTCCTGGTTCTAACCTTGACTGTCATTCAGCAACATGGGGGAAGTGACTACCTCTTTGTGCCTCAGTTTCAATGATGTGCTGGAGCTGGTTCAAACTGGCTTGCAAGAGGCAATTGCTAAATATTCAGGAAATTTGGGGACTGGTTGCTAAACCATAGGTAGCTTGAAATTAACAGTTGGTGGGATATTCACATCATGGAAATTAGCAAATGCTAAAAATCAAGGCTTTTTCCCCCACTAGGGGAGCAGATGTAACAGCACTCCTCTGTGTCAGTTTTCCCATCTGTAAAGTGGGTTTCATCGAGTTGTGGGATTAAATACACTAAGACATATGAAGCCCCTAGTATAATGTCGGACACATAATAAATTTGTAATAGTTATTAACTTTTTATCTTTCTCACTTTTTGTATTATAAATAGAGCTGCTGTGAATGTCTGCACAGGTTACTTACTGCTTTACACCATTTTGGGGTTGAAGACTCGCAAACAGAGCCATTGAATCATGGGAGATACATGGATTTAGGGTGATTTTACATGTGACGAGGTTACGCCCCAAAAAAGACTGAGGATAGTTTTTAGGGACATTGGTGGAATGTACCTGTTTCAGGGCAACAAATTTTAAACCTGATGAAATGTGGTTATTTTGCTGCTACAGAGGTCAGCAACTAAACATCATGGATTAATATTGGTTGCCTGGATTCCAAGAACCCGATTTCCCTGGGAATTTTAGGTTCAAAGTCTGCCCTCCCCCCATGGGAAAAGACCTGAGCCGTGGCCCCTTTGGTCATCACCTCTCAGCAGTGGGAAAAGAAGGAGCCCAGTGAGAGGGGGAATGCGGGCCCAGAGGAAGAAGGAATGGGAAACCAAGTGATCTTCAGACCCTGTACTGATTTTTTTTTCTTTTTTGGGGTAAATTTGAATTATTTTTCTTAAAGAAGCTCCCCAAATAGTTTAAGCTTCAAGCCCCACAAAAGCTGGATCTACCCCTGCAGGACCCCTGCTTTGGACCCGGCTGTAGTCCTGCCTCCCGAGCACCTTCTGCCTTGGTCCTTTCCTCCTTTTCAGCAAAACTGTATTGGAGATGATGTCTTTAAGCTGAGGGTTTTGAGGTCCTAACTCCTACTTCCAGGGTTCAAAGTGAGAATCCCTTATTCTCCTTTCCCAGGTTTCTCGAAGTGTGTTCCACCAACCACGTGGGGGTGAAGAGGGGCTCGATACGATGCAGCTTCCCAGGCCTCACCCCAGTTCCACCGATTCCATCTTGGAGACGGGAGGTGGGCAGGGAGTGTAGGCTGCATTTTTAACAAGTGCCCAGTTGGTGCTTGTGCCACTGAAGTGTGAAAACCCCTCACAGGACTGTCTCCACTCACCCTGCCCCCTACAAACACTTGCACTGTTGATGATAACTGGGATTCACCCACCTGAAAAGCAAAAAAGCAAAGCCACATCCTCCCCACCCCTGCCCCCACAGCCAGACCCAGGGGTGACCTGCCTGGGGAATTCCCACCCTGCCAGGCAGGCCTCAGCCCTCCACCCAGGCCTGTTATGCATTATCCCATTAAACCCTTGGGAACAGTCTCAGATTTATTGCTGGGCTTAAGTTTTATTTAAAGATGACAGTCAACATAGCAGTTTAATGTCTTTGTTTTAACAACCCAGCAGCCGGGCAGTCTTGGCAGCTGTGGAAACTTTCTCTGCAGAACATCGCTGGCCCAGGCCTGCGGGTTCAGGGAAAGTGACGCGGGTCGGGCCTGCAGGGACAGAGAGGCTGGGCCGGGCTGAGGGACATCATTTTATGCAGGTGGGGTCAGCACATGAGCCAGCTGTATGGAACCAACTCTGACCACCGCCAAGAGCAGCCTGCAGACTGGGCTGTGTGCGGTGCTCACGGTGCTTTGTCTCCCCTGATTTGTAGGATCCGATGTCTCCTTTCCTCACTGTTAGCAAATTTGGGCTCCTGGGCAGGTGCCTGACTGGGTCATTTCCTTGGGCTTCCTGGGTGAACTGAGTCACTTCCCTCCCAGGTTGAGTGATCTCCTGGGCCCCCTGATGCTGGGCTCTGGGAAGCTGCTGTTTAAATTGAACTAAATTTACTCTCCTGAGTTTCTTCTGCTTCCCCCAGATAGCTCTCCGCTGCAGCAGCGTGGGGGTGGCAGTGGCAGCAGAGGGGGCCCAGGCAGGCGACAGCAGCAGCCCCTCGATAAGAGCTGTCAGGAGGTGTCTGCTGGAGTGAAACAATCCCCTGCAGACTTCCGGGAACAAATTTCCCTTCCAAGCCAGCTCCCATCTCTTGAGGGCCCTGCCAAGCACCCATGGGTCAGTCTTGCTGTTCCTCTGCCCAGTGCCCAGAGACCCATAGTCTGGCCTGCCTTCCCTCCCAGTCCCATTTTCCCCCTCCCCACTCTGCCCCTAGGGGGCTGGACATTCCCTTCTGTGCCTTTGCTCCCCAAGGGACACCTCCATCCTGTCCCAAAGCCTGGGTCTCCTTGCTTCCACAGGCCTGCCCTTCCTGGCCTGGCTGCCTCTCTGTCCCTGCACCTGATGTTGCAGCCTGTCTGGGCAGGAGGGAACCGTTTCGTCTCTCCCTGAAGAGCTGCAGAGGCCACTGCAGGGGCAGGGACTGCTCCAGAGCCACCCACTTCAGAAGGGGCAGACTAGAGAACTTGAGTCTTGGACCCAGGTCCAGGGCTACGAGTGTACGTCATCCATTCAGCCACCTTGTTAAAACATATTTAGAGGATAAATATGGAGCTGCAAACTTCTCTCTCTCTCTCCCGACCTCCTTCTCTTTCTTCCTTTCTCCAGTCAGGACATTAAAAACAAACAAAGCCATGACCAACCATTTTTATCATTTCATAAAGGAAAGGACATTTTAACACCTCAAATAGTAGGAAAGGTATCATCTCAGGTAGAGAACTTGCCTGATACACAGAATCTTCTAGAGATTGTCGCTTGAGGGAGAGGCACTGGCTAGCAGAGGGATAAGGGGGAGACGGAGACCACTTTATTGTGCTCCCTGTTGTAACTTGAATTTTGTACCATGTAAATAAATACATTGATCTATTTAGAAAACAAAACAAAACAAAAACAGAACGAACAGCCCCAGTCTGTCCTTACTGTATGGGCACAGCTCACTTGGTATTGCCTTATCCCCATTGTCATTTTTTCATGGACCAGTGGAGACAACTTCCCGCTAGCCTGTGGCATGGGGGGCAGGTGTCCATCTGGGAACTCCTGGTCTCATCTGCCTGATGCATTTTAGGCTCCATGAGAGAAGGGGCCTTTCATTTCTCGCATATTTCACTGTGCTCTCCTTTCCAGGCTCTGCAGCCCAACCACCTGGGGTCAGATCCCAATTCATCCACTTCCTCGCTTGTTTCTTTGTAGCCAGTTATTTAACATCTCTGTGCCTGATTTGCCATCTGTCTAATGGGGCCAATGACAGGACCACCCTCCAAAGATGGTTGTGGAGTTTAGATGGGATATAGTAAGTGCTCAGTAGTGTTAGCTATTTTTTATTAGCTGTCACCCTCCTTTCTGTGCCTTCTGTCCCCCAGCCCAGTGCTCAACTTTGCCCATTCCTCAGAAAATATTTACCATTATAAAATATATACATGAGTGCCAGACATTGTGCTGACCCTGAGGAAGACATTGCTCTCAAGAAATGCACGGTCTGCCTGACTGGTGATGGAGCAAAAAGACAAGTAGTTTGCCTTAAGGTGGAGAGGGGAAGGGCGCCAGGGCACGTTTGTGCATAAATGTCAGGCCCCGCAGGAAGCACAGGGGCTTCTGGGAAGGGAAGAAAATCGATGACAGGGTCTTCATTTTCACCCCCAGGATAGGGCTTCTGGGTCATTTTCTTTTTTCTGAGCTCCTGCCTAGAAAGTGGTGATTCTAGGGAGGCTGCAAATAACAGTTTGGGTTCTT